TTGCAAAAAGGACGCCTAAATTAGGGTATCTACGGTACCTTTCTTTAATAGCCGAGAGTGATTACAACAATGAAAACTTTCAGTGCAGGATAGCAATATTTCAGGATTTCTTGCCAACTGATTTTATCATGCCATCTGATTTTATCTTGCCATCTGATTTCATCTTGCCATCTGATTTTATCATTCCATCTGATTTTATCATGTCATCTCGGTGGATGAATTTCAAATTGTGAACCTACAGGTAATTTGTTTTTCCTGCCTAAATTTGGTGCTAAATTTTATAAATTGCTGAGTGTTTTTCTGTTTTTTTTTTGTTAATTTTCAACCAAATGGACACAATTTACAGCTTTTGATCAACATTTTTTGAAAAAATATGAAAATAATTCATAATATTCAATATAATTTTGTGAAAGATATTTGGCGCCAAATAGTTAAAGAGAAAATATTTCTTTGAGATTAATTTGAAAGTAATACAAATAAATACATTGTATTGGCTCTATTAGTAACTTATTAGTTTACAAAATATCTTCATTATTTATACCCTCTCGCCAACTTCAACTCCATGATGGTTGACCCTAAAAGAATATATGCCGTACTTCCCCAATCCTAAGCCCCTCCTCAAATATAAGCCCACCCCTCTATTTTTAGACAAGTTGAGGGCATCCCCAATTACAGGCCCAGTGTGTTTTTACTGGGTGTTGATGATATTTATTAAAATATGCATATAAAAAATATGTTTCATTGCATAAAATTTTGATTGGTATGGTAGTTTTGTTTGTGCTTTTATGCGAAAACTCGCATTAATTTCAGAGTACATGGCAAATGCATGCAACATGGTACACACCCTTTTTATTCTGTTATTTACTCAGGATGAACCCTGATGTTGCAAATAATAAAGTAATCCACATCTCTTTGAGTGGTAGCTTTCAAAACGCCAAAAATGTGACCGTCAAGTCGTGAAACCTGGTCATTGGACATTGTTTTACTTTTCAAAATAATTGTGTCTATTATTGAGACTATCGTGAATCGTATATTGTCTAGTCGGATTATTTCCTAGTTTCTTCACCTTCAAAGGAACTATTCCATCTATTGTTTTCATGAGAAGATGCATTATGGGAGTACCACAATGTAAATGTTGCTTTGTTTATTTCAGTGGTCATAGTTGGAGTCTTTGATAGTTTGATGAATTCATGCAGCTGTAGCTGTTGATTTTGAAGATTTAAACAAGATTTAATGTTGAATAGAAAACTTCAACGCTCAAGTCTGGGATGATTCAAATTGGACATGTATAGTCTTTTCTAATATGCAGTATTATTTTACATCTGTCACCGTAACGTCATAAGTTACAGCGTGCCGTAATTTTGTGGTATTTTACTGGGCATTTTCATCCTACCATATTAGGAAATGCGAATTCCAACATGGAATGATTACGCGCGTAGGTGTCCTCTAATAGTAAAAACAAACATGGCTGCCACCAGGGTTTGACCGGACTCAACACAAAGAATTTCGCTGATTCTGTTCTAAACTTTTTGGATTTCGGCAATCCCATGATGTATCCTTGAATCTGCTGCTACATGTATAGTATGCAGCCATAGTATTAATATTTCCCTCCGAGGGAGCTCTTAGACTACAACCTGTTTTTCAATTCTTTTTTTTGTTTCAAATCCATTGTGACAAGACAGCACTGTGATTTTTATTTCTTAAACTGTTCCACATACGATTGAATTACGAAAGAAATAATGTATTTTACATTAAAAACACAATAGGGAGGTTTGCCCATTGAATGGAACAACCTTGGAGAGTTTGATTGAGCAGTTCAGCAAAATCTCTCTTAAAATGGTTAGTATTATTTAATCAATCCACTGTAATGTCACAGGTCAACAGAATACTATACAATGTCAATGATCATTAATTATACAACAAACTGAGATTTCTTTATTTTGAAACAAGTCAAATTTATCTTGGTACCCTGGCTTCTACAAAAATTCTCACACAGTGATGTGCAAAACCTTGTTTATCATTATTATTTATTGGAATTTATCCAAATATTATCTGTTTTCAAAATTTCCTCTTATTTGCAATAAATTACATCACCAACAGTGAACGAGTTTTGCATTATTGATGTTGCGTCTTGTTTACATTGCATACAGCGACAATGCAGCACAAAATAGAAACAGAATCCTGTCACATAGTCCAGGGGTCGAGGCTTCAAAATATGCTTATTTAAATTGCCCTTGCCCTTCCCCCTCCCCTTTTCCAACAAGCATCACATTTCGCCTATGCTATTTGATTGAGAGACTAACACAGCAAATAGTCACACAAATCTTGTAAAACATTTTTTGACTTTACCTTACTATAATATTACTACAAGCTGTAAAGCTGTAAGATACATTGTATGGTTTATTATGCAAAGTATGAACTCAGGCGGTACAGGATTGCATTGATGTAATCTTTATGCATATTTCATGGTAATCTCATGACAACCTCATAATATCGAACAAATACCGGTAGATGAAAAAATACTCAATTATAGGCCATCCTGATTAGGCAGTGATTGATCAGTGAGAACTGATATTTCGTACCCGAAGATTGGTAAGCGATATTTGTTATCAGACATTGGATATAATGTAAACATATGACGTCATAGTGCAACGACCTATATACTGCACTGTTTAAAATACAACATTAATGTTAAGCCAAAAAAACAGGATATAATATTACATATACATGAACATGTAAGTGGAATTGAAACTATTTCATGAAAAGTTACGAAGTTGACAATGTCAATGAATGGTTATATATTAGGACGGTCTTAACAAAATTAAAAGCAATTGGCCGGCTATGTGTTAATGGTAATTTAGAATAACACCACATTATGCCGCACTACACAAACTCAATCAAATTAACTAGAATTCATTGTGAAGTTGTTAGTATATCCAGCGACTCCCTAAACAACACAGTTATTTACAAATCTAACGACGAGTTGCTGTGTGATTCTAATAACTGGGTACAACCTCCACATAATAGTCTAACTACATAACAAAACACTTACAGTACATAATGACTGCCAGGAATGTTTTCTTTGTTAAACGACTACCACGTCTGATAGAAATTGACAACAAAAAACAGTAGAGCACTGGTGCATATATTAATCACCACATGGCTGTCATTTACACAGAGTTTCCATAATTTACCTGATTTGTCCTTATTTCTAGACTTTTTACGTCTTCGCGGCAAAAACCCAGGCATGTTTTACCCTATTCCACACATGGACAGGTCGACATAGATGTTAATAGTGTCTGTGATAAATTGCTAAGGAGCATAGCGAACTGTGTATTGTACAATATTCATCAGTTCACACAACTCGCTGTCTGTCGGTGACAATACACTTTATTCAGGTTTCGTTACAGTGAATGCAAAACAAATTGAAAAGAATTCCACTCAATAGCATTGTGTATTGAAGTCAAAAGTGCAATTACTAAATCCACACTAACTTAGGGAGTCATACAACTCCTTAACTTGGTTTCAAATGAGTTGACCAACCTAAAATACATGGATTGCCAACAACAGAACTACCACTTTTCAATAACAAGACAATTTCGCTACACTAAAACATTAGTGGATTTTATATGGTTTGGATAAACTTTTAGTCTATAAACTTTTTTTTTATCAAAACGAAAGCAAACAGAAAATGTACTAAAGGTGTTCCATTTCATGCATAGGTTATGGCCAGTAAAATGAGATGTTTCAGTTTACCCCTAGCAAAACTTCACTAGCATCTGAAATTACAGCTTGCTCAAACAATCCTTATGAAAAACACAACTAAGACAGTTTATAATGTGGCCTTGGCCGATTTAAATTTCAACTTAATGATTTAACCTGGAAAGTTAATATTTGAAACTTTTTTGGCACAGAATATTAATCTTCGCTTACTCAAATATAATTTTCAATTTCATCAGCAATGTGAATTATTTCTGCAAATATGATGTAATTTATTTCTTACCTAATGCTGCAATTTCATCTGGACCAAATGTCTGGTTCTGGTTCTCCCCTAAATTTTGGCTAATTCTAGTATCTGGTGACCTTTCTGGTGGTTTTGGTGCTGGGATGGAAAAAGAAACAAGTTGAGTGAAATATTCTGTGATTTGCAAAATACTATTTTTTTTTTAACCCGCTGAGTACCATTATGTCAATTAGATTTAAAATTAACAAAAAACTTAAAAAAAAAAATACATAAAAATGTTCTAAAATATTGCAAGAAAAAAGTATGGCAAACAAGGGGTGAAAGAAAACGCTGTCAGTGTATGACACTATTGCATCATGGGATATAAATACTTTGAACTTATAATTAGTTTTTAAAAATACCAGACAAGCACATTTTTTATAAAGTTAATTTTTCTTTTTCAATGAATGATTGGGAGAAAAAATTTGGCTCTCTGAAACTAGTGTCAAGCCAGAAAGAGATTTGTTTCAAAATGGTCAACAAGTTGAGGAGCTAAATGTTTATGCCAAAATAACATGGGTTAAGTTTCCATGGTGACCATTTAACTAAGTTTACATTACTGAAGTTGTACACTTTTTCAGTAATGATATGACAGCTGACAAGAAAGTTATTAGAAAAAAATATTATTCACTTTTGTCATAAAAGTTACAAATTTAAAAATGATAAGAATGAGTGATAGGTATATTTGTTTATATGCGTGCTATAGTACTAGTCTGTATAACATGCATATATTAAAGTTACATTCCCACTTGTATGATATGTAGAAAACATCTCACTGACTGCTGTAAGCACCATAAATATCACAGCTCATGAGAAATCACCAAAATCTTGAAATTGAATTCACAAAACTCTCCTCTCCAAAAATTGCCCTTCAGTGATCACAACAATGGAAACTGTGTTTGATTTGTTGATTAGACACCATGACTGTCAGTACAGGTTATATTTTTCGTGATTCATTGCCAAACCAGTTTATGATTTTTCATGGTGATCACAATAATCAGAGGGAGGTGTTCTGCATATACCGGCAATGTGAAGAGAAAATGCAACTTTAAAACAGTTTGATGAATTTAGAATCAAAGTTTAAAAAAGTTACTTCCATATGGAAGCCATTACAGGAACTGCAGAGAATACAATAATAGAAGTGCCATTTTAGATTCATTTTAACATGCGCACACAGCACACCATGCATGGAACATGCAGAAAAGCCCTCTGCATGCTTGTTTTAGCATGCTATGACACACCATGCATGGAACATGCAGAAATGCTCTCTGCATGCTTGTTGTTAGCATGCTACGACACACCATGCATGAAACATGCAGAAATGCTCTCTGCATGCTTGTTGTTAGCATGTTACGACACACCATGCGTGAAACATGCAGAAATACTCTCTGCATGTTTATTGTTAGCATGCTATGACACCCACTTCTTACCAAATAACATCATTACACCGGAATCATCACTATGAGATGTTTGTGTCAATGGATCAAAGTGTACTGAGTGAAAACCAACATGCATTCAGTTAGACATACATGTACATACAACAGTGCACTAGGAGACAACGAGACAACACAGCAATGGATGGGAATATCAGGTACACAAAATAAATACAATTTCTTAATGCATCATCAATATTTTTGTTGGGTTGGTTGGTTGTTTTATTATCAAAGGCTGGTGTGATCTGTAATTCGGAGCAACTGTCAGGGAGAAAAACTTATTTTTTTTTCCATCCATTTTATAGGACTTTGAGCTGGACGTATTTTTCTGGTGAGACCTGGATTGATGTAAATAATCAAAATTTCCAAAGTCAGTGAATATCGTGAAATTCTGTAGCAGTGAACATTTCTTTGCTATACTGTGGACACCAAATGTCAGTGACTTTCATAAAAAATATGGCTTCATGAATGCAATAAAATTGCAAACAATTCTAGTAGTGTAAATTAAATAATTCGCAGTACTTGCAGGTGTTTCCGCAAATTCAAATTGAAACACGTTTCTTTCCATCCAATCACTTGTCAATTGGAAATAAATTCAGTGACATGAAGTTACATGACTTTGCATAATGTAAGCATTAAAGAAGGCACTCACCTTTTTTACTTTTTTCTTTTTTCTCTTTATCCAGCCATGCATACGGTTTGGTGGGTACCACAGTCACTACCTTCAGTACGAGTGTATCACCCGACTTTTTAACCAATTCCACCACGTGTCTATGTGTCGCTTTCACTACATCCTCACCATTAACCTTAGAGAGAGAAAGGAAACAACATGACTGAGCTGAACTCAGCCACCACACATATACTAGCTAACTAACCAAGGTGGAATAAAAAAAAAAAAATTCTGATTTTACAGTTTTTCACCCTCTGAACGCAAAGGCCAACTTTTGCCACAAGTAAACAATAAATTTGTACAATTGTGCGAGATTCTAGAAATTGTTTTGGGGTTTTCCTCTTATTTAATATACATATTTGATGACGGTCAATTCTGAAATTATCTCTATCTGGTTCAAAATTAACAAAGAAATTCATGAAAATGTGCAAAATTTGTACCATGATCACTACAAGCATGTTGTATTTTTTAAAAATGATTTGATTTTGTAAAATAACAAACACTCACCTCTACAAGAAAGTCACCTGCTTCCAGTTCGGCTTTATGTGCCACACCCCCTTTATCAACAGCATCCAGATACTGCAACGCTGGGAACTCGGCACTAGGTTGGAATTCTAATGATGGATTGGACGACTTGGCACCACGCAGGACAAAACCGTAACCTTTCTTTGTTCGGTGTAATACAACAGTTCTAACATGGTTATCGCAAACTGACGATGGACTATCCAGAAGTGATAGAGGATAACTGATGACATAAAGGGAAAACAACAAAGTTTTAATTTGCTGCATGGAATTAGAAATCAATCATCTGAAATCATGGGGAAGTGTGACCAGTACAAATTGTTTTCACAGTGTCTTGTCTGTGCATTTTTATTATTCTTGAAAGTACAAACAATTGGTGGCAAGCTTACAATTTTTTTTTTTCAACAAATCTTTCAGCCATACCCTCTCATGATTTCAAATGGTGACCCCTTAGCAAAGACTTGGTTAACTAGACTAAACAAGGCTTTGATTATCACTACAAGCAAAACCATCAATGTCACACTTAAACACAGTGTAACTTGCTCCTTGTATAAAGTAATTATTAAGAAAGCAGATTAATTCTAAGGTAGCAACAGGGGGGAAAATTAGTTAAAAATTAATTTGTAATACAGACATTCTGTAAACGTTACTAAGCATACAACTAGTAAAACATCCTATATATCACCTGAAAGCTTAAATATAGGGGAATATGTAATGCATATGATATACCAGAAATCTCACAAAACGTAAAATATCTTTCACAATTCACTTATAAAATTGGCTATCATTGACATTAGTACAACATATGCACTGTATTCTCCTATATTTAAGCTTTCAGAAGATATATAGGATGTTATAGTAGCATGATCAGTAATGTTTACAGAATGTCTGAATCACAGATCAATTTTAACTTGTTTTTCCCCATTTTTACAATTAGAACATTATTCTAAGCACATGTCAGCATCCATTCACATTTCCCATGCAGAAATAGGAGTGTCTTTATATTTTGTAATACCCAGATATTATTGTCATTTTAACTCTGAATATACATTGGCTGTGAGTGCATGGCAACACACTTCAGAACACATACAAAAATATTGCGTCCTTTAAATAGTCTAGTATTAAATTTGCATTCTGAGATCGAATTTTTGGACCATTGCGCAACACATTTTGATGGTGTGAATACACATGCATTAAGGTGAGACATGTTTGGCATATATTAGTATTCAAGATTTCTGCAGTCCATGATAATTGGAAAATTATGTGATTCCCTGTTACATGATGGAACTTAACACAAAGGTGTAGAACACTAGGGGAACTGGCAAATTAAATTAAATTATGGAACATGCAGATGATCAGCTTCCATCAATAATGGTGAAGCAGCTTATCTAGTAAGTGCAGTCACATGTACTGACATCATTTTTTTATTTTAATTCAAAGAATGTGATGCCATCATCTGCTGCATTTTTTGGTATGGTCCAGCATTATATAGATCATAATTCGGTCAAAACAGTTGACATTATTCTGCCATACTGAATTTAGAATGTTTGGAATATCAAGTATGCACTGTAAATTTCTATAATTTCGCTAGACGAATTATCGCTAATTTCACAAATCGGTAATAAAGCATGTAATTTTGTAAGCAGTAAGAATGTCTCTACAGCCTTATACAAGTGTCAACGACTTTCACAAAATGTTGTCTTCCCGAATGCCATGAAATCATAAAATGGCAAACATTTCTAAAAAGTGAAAAATTAAGCATATACATAGCAGTATTCATACAATTTTAATGTGTTTATTAATAATCCAAATACCAACCCGAAAATTGTAAAGACAAGCATAACTTTGTAAAATGTGTATTGTACCAGTAATACAAAATCTTACCGATCATCGATAGTCAGGTCAGATCAGATCAGGTCAGGTCAGGTCAGGTCAGTAGATAAGAGGAAATGGATGAATGAAAGAATAAGAAGCAACAGAAATATTACTAAGTTGCAAAACCAGAGTATATTAGGATAAGAATAAGTCTAGACTTAAAAACACATGACAGTTTGCAGTACTGCTAGAATGGTAAACATAGCTACAGGTACTAACATTCTGGCAGCATAATTAGAATAAACATGGGTTGTATAGAGAGTAAAACGTCACATAAAAGTACTGCTATAGATTACACATATGCTGCAAGGTATGTCTATATAAGGATCTCTCCGATATCAACAAGATACAAGTAAGAAACACATGCATACCTCTTTGTTTCTTCTTCAACTTGGAATGTCTCTTCTTGACCCGAGATGAAAGACAAATCAACTATTAGTATCACAAATTTAAGAGATCTGTGTTTCGTAATGTTCGTGCAGTTACATTGTACATTGTGTGTACAGAGGAATCCGATTTACCGCTATGTCAATGCATCGTCCTGTTTTGCATATGATCACATGTTCAGAGTTTTTGTCCTCTGTAGACAGAACACTGAAGAGATAAGTTTTTCCCAAAATGGAGACTGTCTCCAAATACCTCGATCTGGATAAAAGCCGCTCTACTGTAAGATTCCAGATATGAAGAAAGAGTTTGGCATTCAGAACAGCATTCCAAAAATTGACGAAGATAATTTCACATACAAGGAAAAATAAATCTTTTTTTTTTAACCTGATTTCTACACAACTGCATATTTCACATTTTTGAGAACTAGTGTCATCTGTGCTGGTAGACATTCCTGTCTTGTTACACTTCATTCATCTATTTTTTATTACTGCACTTGGGGAGTATGCAGGTGACAGAAATATGAAACTAATAAAAAAATTGACTAATAAAAAAAATCGACTAATGAGCTGTACCTTTGACCTTTTTTCCTCTCATTTTCACCTCCTCGACGCAGTATGAAGGAAACCAACCAGCGGAACCTTTCACACTACCTTCCCAAAAATTATGCTCACCAATATTCAAAACTGAAACAAAAAACATTCATTGAGAGTCAACATTGAAGGCATAGTCCTATGTCACAGTGCCCTCTATGTGTATACCCGATAAATAGAAATTACAATATATAGTTTTCTTTTACCAGAAGTTGACAACACTATTATCACAATTCCTGTAATATTTTTGATTTAACAAGAAAACTCATCCTCAATTTCTTTGGAGATGAATCCTGAATATTTGCCACATCAGGAATGTTAACTTAGAATGCTACTTGGAATTTTTAGTTACAATTTTAGATTTTGAGAAAAATGTCATAAACAGGGGTTCCCATAGATAAAATTAAAAATGTAATTTTTTTAGTACTTCTAGACATGAACAAGTACATTGTCAGAGACTGTATATCAATTTTTCACACTACGTCACCGACCAAACTTTTTATATTTTGAGATGGTAAAAAGCTTGAAAACAGACAAAACGTGCTATACTCATTTAATTTTTTACACCTATTTTTTTTTTTTAAACTGAGTGTGGTAACCCCATATTTTTATTTTATTTTTCTCAATCACTATGTTAAAATACAGAAATTACATTATACTGACTACTGGTTATACGGTAGAAATCTACCTCAACAGTGCCAAAAACGGGTTACAAGAACACAGGTGGTATTTTGTTATCGCTAGAGGCATATACATGTGCATGAATATCCTGTAAAATAATAGGCGAGATCTGTGCAAAAACAAAGCTAGGATTTTCTTTGCTCTATGCCACCTGTATTGGCGATGCAATCCTACATCGTGATAATCCTGCAAAACTAATTTCTCACCTTCAACAAAATCTCCTTTTTTCAAGGACAATTCACCTGCTTCTAACGCTGTGTAGTTTTTGACCGCAATGAAGGTCCTCCCAGGAGTGCAATCGTAAAGCTTCTTGTGCGTCATTATTTTACTACTATCGAATTTTATTGAATTCTTTGTGCCTACACGAGACAAAAAACATCAAATTATATCATGCAAACTTATACTATAGTACATAATATTAATTATACTACATTAGAATACCACTCATTTACATCATACAAAGTTGCTAATATACTACATTAGAATAAACCACTCATTTACATCACAAGTTGCTAATATACTACATTAGAATACCACTCATTTACATCATACAAAGTTGCTAATATACTACATTAGAATATACCACTCATTTACATCACAAGTTGCTAATATACTACATTAGAATATACCACTCATTTACATCACAAGTTGCTAATATACTACATTAGAATATACCGCTCATTTACAGCATACAAAGTTGCTCATATACTACATTAGATGATACCACTTATTTACATCATACAAAGTTGCTAATATACTACATTAGAAAATACTGTTCATTTACATCATACAAAGTTGGTAATATACTACATTAGAATATACCGCTCATTTACAGCATACAAAGTTGCTCATATACTACATTAGATGATACCACTTTTTTACATCATACAAAGTTGCTAATATACTACATTAGAATATATCGCTCATTTACACCATACAAAGTTACTGATATACTACATTAGAATATATCGCTCATTTACACCATACAAAGTTACTGATATACTACATTAGAATATACTGTTCATTTATACCATACAAAGTTACTGATATACTACATTAGAATATACCGCTCATTTACATCATACAAAGTTGCTGATATACTACAATAGAATATATCGCTCATTTACACCATACAAAGTTACTGATATACTACATTAGAATATACCGCTCATTTACATCACAAAAAGTTGCTGATATACTACATTAGAATATACCACTTATTTACATCATACAAAGTTGATAATATATTACTTTAGAATATCAAGCACAATTACACCATACAAGGCTTTAGTTAAGGCTCAGTTCAAATGAAACATTCATGTACAAATACAAACTTTGTATGACGTGAATGGTTAAAGTAATTCTAATTAGTTCCAAACATTAAAATGCTTTAATCAATGAGTTTTAGGACAACCAATCAGAATGCCTGTTTTGTTCCATAGAGTGAATAAACATTAAAAAGATTAATAAAATTAAAATAAATGAATTAGGAATTAGAAACTTGTACTAATAATTATACCAACCCTTACATTATGAACATGTATATTATTATACCAAGATGCACAATACCATGTTAAATATACGTTCCCAAAAAATACCACACTTATATATCATGCTACCATATACCATGTCAAGATATACCATGCTACGATATATTATTCCATGATACATAATGATATAATATGTCATACCAAGACATACATGTATTAAGCTAAAATACACCATGATATGATATACCATAGTATGGTACATCATGATGAAATAAATGTATACTATGTGATAATACACCATGCTGTAATACATCATGCTAAATTATTAAGAAATGATATACAGTATGTTGATTATTAATGTTATAAAAATGATAAAGTGGGGTGCAATAATGTAAGCATGGACCGCTAACTAAAACATTGTAAGTGACGAAAAACAGACAGAACATTAAGTAGGACATGATGGATAGTGTTGGGGACTGTGTATTTGTATATGATGTGGAAGAAGAAACAGTTGAAATAAACCATGACAAAGAATGGTTCAGATAATGTATATTATGTGAAGACAGTTTTTAAACAAGTTTTGGCAAATAACAGTTCCTTTGACATGTACTAGTATAGGATACACAATGTGAAATAGTTGCACTCAAAGGTGATACATTGTTTGACAGTAGCATAGTTGTTATGAGTCTGTGTAACACCCCAACCATGTGTTAACAGCAATTATAATACCATATAGCTATCAAGTTTAGAGTGGAAATTGCAGGCTGCTACAGAGAAAAGAGATACACCTGATACTGCCACCCTCATCCCATTCCATGCCACCCTACCCTTCCCACAAATGGAATGACCCAATTATCACCATGTTTAGGCATGACTGCAGCAGTATCAAATCTCTGCAGGATTACTACTGCACCAGTCACTCCAAAAGCCAACCATGTAGGTGTGGATCAGAAACCAATGAAAAGACTCCATAAGAACATGATTTCAAGCAGTTATAGATGCAAGCCAGCTACACAAGGCATGACACACCCAACAGCTAGTTTTTTTCCCAATAGGCTAGGGAGTTTGTGTGATAATATGCAAATTAGGCACCTGTTGCTTAATTAGCATATTTTGGAATGACTGACATCTGTAGTTGTATAACTTTCTATAATTCAAATTGTGGAACCTCCAAAATGTTGGTTACATTTTCAACTCTATTTTGTCAGCTACAAATGAGGAACACCATAAAAAGAGCATTTTTTTCTTAATATATCTGAGCCTTTTTAGCAATGTTTAGTGTATGTGCAAAATGTATCACAGGTCAATAAGCTCCCCTAAGTGTTAGAAAAATTGTTTCTTAGCTTGTGTTTTTATGTGTTTACAAAATGTATGATTGATGATGCCTTTGCACTCGTAAATAGTTAGTAAATATTTCCAAAATATAAAAATATGAAAGAATGTTAATACATTGAGAGGAACTGTGCATTTAAATAAAGAATGGCTACAGTTTTATGTTGCCGTGCTGATTTTAAGGATGCTATAGAAATCTGAGAATCCTTGACACCTCAACAGTTTATCAGCAGTTCTTCAAAATTACAACTTGTGGACAAAGTATTTGAAAGCCAGAAAACAAAGGTGTTGTACTAGTAGAAAAAGTTTTAGCATGACCATTTATAAATAATTTTTTTTCTTTTTCATCTCTTGTGTAGAAGACAGTTAGGATAAAAATTAGTACTATTAAATTGATTCACGCAGGATTAGGAGTGTGAGTTTTTCCACTTTTTTTGTTATGTGTGAAAATCATGTTGAAAAAGAACCAATTGAAGTTGTTTATGCAATGATGTGATGAACACCAACAACATTTACAAAGTACAATACTATTGGCTGTGAAGCAGCAAGACCAAGCATATTAACCAATATGAGAAAGTGTTACATTCTCAATGCAATTGCAACAACCGGACAATGACAAACAAGTTTCAATTGGTTCTTTTCTTGTCACATGACTTTGCTCACCATTTTTACTTCTAGGCAAGGTGCAAGTGGCAGCAGCGATACTGTGTGGCCTCTGCTTAATTCTTTCTTCATATTTACTTGTGTTTAAGCATCTGGCATTGTGTAAAAATGAACTACTTCTAGGTAAAGTAGACGTACTTGGAGCGACAATGACCGGTCGATACATATCTTCCGGTTTTCTAGGAGTACTACTAAGAAGGGATTCTGCCGACCCTGTACTGCCGATGGACCGTGGAGATGAGCTGCCAGCATACCCGATTGGTAAACTCCGAAGCGATCCATTTGGGGATGAATATTCACCATTTATTTGCGGTATATGTGTATCACTCCATGTACTATGTACGTACATTGACGACGGCCGCCTACGCATGCTGTATTTGGGTGCATCCCTAAATGGAACTGTAATGAAAACATACATTGCTACATGGTATCAACATTCTAAACAAAGCATTGCCTTTTTTTTCTGTTCCTCTACAATGTTTACATCAGTGGTACTGCATGTGTATCAGAATGACGTTTCTTTTCAACAGAACTGCCAATTTGACGATGTGATGTGCACACATATAGTACAACTTTCTGGACGAAACACAACACAAACACACACGCACAATATTAACAGTAATTGAGGTATATTGGACCATGCAATTACAGAAATCAAGTGTTTTACAAGATTTACCATGAACCTTAAACCAGAATATGACCTGACATATCAAACAGTGTTAACTTCTGAGTTGCTTTAAAGACATTCTATAAAAGGTAATCTACTTCCAGTATCTGAAAGCCAGACACAACCCAAAGATCATACAATACAGGTTAACATGTACCGGTATATCCGACAAAAAATAGGGGATGACTACTACCATGACGACATGATTTAGGACAAAATATACAATTTGGGTGAATTGTTGAAAGTTGAGCACAGCAAAACAATGCACTGAATGGGTCAGGCTGAGATCAGAAATGAAAGTGGGGTTTAACATAATCTCCGAAATGTAACCTGTTGACTCATTTCAAGTTAATGTGCATTTAATCCTAAATATCATAAACAATGAAATGCACAGAATAATTTACAACTCAGAAGACTTGGAATATTCAATCATGCATTTGTTAAAACCTTAAAATTATTGAGATCACATGGACCTACAAAATAGACTCCAGACCCTGCACTTACCGCTCTCTAAACAGCAGCAAATAGGAAAGAAATAAAACTATCAAAGTATAACTGAATATTAAATAAAAAAGTTACAAACAAAAAAAAGCCAAAAGACTGCAAACTACACTGGGGAACTACATGTATGATGAAAAGATATTTAAACAGCAAAGTGTCACTATTAAACATGATACACTTCATGATTCAGTCACAACTTCATATGCTAAGGTAGGACACTCTCTGAATATGAAAGCTTCCGTTCAAATGACAGTTGGATTGCTGGTTGATTAAAACCACAATCGTCACACAATTCATGTATGTAAACATGTATCAAAAACATGTATTGTTTACACAAAATCTGACGACTGTAGTGCTTTACTTCATCAAGGCTTAAATGTTGACCCCTAGTTATAAAGTGACCACCTCCCACCAGGGCACTTTACCTCAATTTTCTAAATCGAGAGAATTCCCTAGACAATCAAGATTATGATTACTAGTTCAAGAGATAATAACCATAACCAGTAACCATTTGTTGACAGCCCAAGAATGCATGCACAATTGATGTGACTGTGTGCTTTTAGCCTTTTTCACCACCAGTTCCCTCTTTTCAACACAAATTCACAAAATTGTCCTGTTTATAGTCTGTACTTCCCTTCAGATGATCGGGCAAAAATAGTACAATTTTTTTAGTAAAAGCTGAAAATTTACTCAAATTTTGTCTTTGGCTCTAAAATTAGGGTTTATTTTCAGAAATATTGAAGAATTTAAGAAAAAAGTACAGACAAATTTGGGCAAGAAAGTCTGGTGTTGAAAACATTAGTACAACACAAAAGCAAATTCTACATTCATTTTGAGGGGGAGTTAC